CGTACCTAGAATGTATGCTGATGACACCCACATTACTTATGCTGGTTCTGATTTACATTTGATCCAGTCTAATCTATCTCACGACCTTGAAAAGCTAAGAAAATGGCTAGTGTCTAACAAACTTACCTTGAACGCTACAAAAACTGAATTTATGCTGATCGGCTCCAGGCAAAGATTAAGTATTCTATCTGATACACTGGAACTTTCCATGATAATGTTCCGATTGAACGAGTTTCCTCTGCGAAATCCCTTGGAATACATATCGATGAAAATTTAACGTGGCATTCCCACATTGATAAACTATGTAAAAAGATCGCTTCCGCTGTTGGAACCATAAAGCGAGTTAATCCATTTGTGCCTCAATCCACCCTACGCAAAATTTGCAACTCACTAGTTCAACCTCACTTTGATCACTGCAGCCTTGTCTGGGGTAATTGTGGCAAAACATTATCTAAAAAGCTACAAAAACTACAGAAAAGTGCTGCACGTGTTATAACTTCAACAAACTATGACGTAGATGTCGATCCCTTGTTTCACAAATTCAGCTGGAAAGACTTCAAATCTCAACGTCAAATTCAGAACGCCTTAATGGTTTTCAAGTCTTTAAACGGTCTTGTTCCGGAATATCTCACGTCTAAATTTATATAGCGAAATGATTCAAGCTATTCTCTGAGAGACTCGGTAAACAAACTTGTTGTCCCCTTTCCAAGAACTAACTACATGAAAAATAGTTTTAGTTACAGCAGCGCTACCCTTTCGAACAGCTTACCCTGTAACATTAGAGAGTCTGGCTCACTAAACAAATTTAAACGCCTTCTCTACCATAATTTTTAAACACGGCATTCATGGAAACCAGGATTTTTCTTAAGTGGCATATTAATGTAAGTTAATATAATGTAAGGATTTGGATTTTTAGTCATTATTATGTAATTTTTTTTTCTACCTGATGTTTTTACCGCGTATAAATAATGATTAAAGATTAAAGATTAAAGATTAAAGGAACCGTTGAATCCATGATCAGAGTGGATTCATCGATTCCTTGGATGCACCATGATGATCCGAGTGATCTTGGATCACTGATCCTTATCCAGATCACCTCAAAGAAACGCACCCTTAATGAGCACTTTGGTTTTTTGATCTCATTTAAGAATCGCCCTCGCATGGTAGATTGTGGCGTTGTTGTGTTTGTTTGATCCATTCTATTCTCCCGTGTTCGTGGGCTTTCGATGTTTTGAGATATTTTGAAAAGAGTTTTTTTAGTAAACATAGCCTGCTGTGAACCAATATTTGAAATAATCTACAATATATTGGAACAGCGTGAGAATGAGCAACCAAATGAAAGATCATCAAAAAAGGCTTGAACGGTTTTCCAGGGCATGCTGTGTGCACTGCAACATAAGATCATTATGTATTGGAGTTTTTTACGGTATGTTTACTAAAGCAAATTTTTGACGACATTTTAGTGTATGCCATAAAGCACATGAATAATAATTCTAACACAGTGTACTCCGTCAATGTTATCACAATGCATTTTTCAAAGACATCAGTCATACTGTGCAACAGATTTACGAAATTTTCTTTCTTCCTGATGTAGCCGAACGGAAGGTCTTAGCTGAAGGTTTTCATATCTCTGATAGTCTTCTTAAATTATTTTATTTTATTATCAATATTAATACTTGATTTATTGTATTTTATAATTTCCTATTTTATTTTATTTCGTTTTATTTGATTAACAACGAACTTATGCAAATCAAGAGTGTTTTCGAGCGACTTTTGTGGTAATATATATACTTGAAAGATGGGATACGATGGTAGTACATGATGGGCTTTCTATACTTCTGAATCCCTTCCCTTTTTCAGCAAGCGAGGCCGCTCGATCTACTTACCTTTGTTTGCATGATATGCCAAAACACAAAACAGAAGAACTTGAAAGGTACTGCATTTGAAGTTCATCTGATGAGAAAGCGTATAAGGAAGAGATTAGAACTATAAACATTTTACGACATGCCATTTTAAAATTTTCCACCTCCTTTGCGCATGCACTTGCCATATTTCCTTGTGCTTTTGAATACACTCGCTTATTAGCAAAATTTTGACATAAAAATTCGAAAGTTGATGTTAAAAAATTAAAATTGTAGTGTGCCACTCGGGTGATTTACTGTCACATAGTGCAAATTAAACTGCAGTGACAACTTGGAATAATCAAGTGGTCGTTTATCTATTAATCTGCAAACAAAACTCTTTCACATGTCAGTGGATCAGGCTTTACACTCAGGCTCTGGCGGACATTATGTTATGCTATTTTAGTAACGGGATCGATTGACCACGAATTGAGTACCTAAATCAATATTCTTTCCAGTTTGGTTTATCTCCTTCAACTTTTATCATAGAAATGCAATTTCTTATTGCGTGAGATATCCGCCCCTTCGAAAAATATTAAATACAAAAAGGCTGTTTTGAATTATTTATAGCATATTGTAATATTTATTTTCGTTCTGATGTTACATTACTGCACTGCCTTTTTGAGGTTTCTTTTTTGAGTGTTTCATTATGATAATTTTCAAAAAGCATAAGATAGTAGCTTTGAATCCATGTATTAATTACGGAAAAAGAACTGAAGTCTATTTTTTTTTTTTCATTTTTTTTTTTTCATTTGATTATAATTATCTACCAGTAGGTGGAATTTATTTCTCACGTTTATTTCTCATTGCACTGAAGTACCCTTACTTACCACCTTGGTCATCGGTTGGATTTCGCGCCTGGGGTCGAATGAAATGTTGTCTGTAGTTTGTTGTCATCTCTCCACTTGTAAAACTATAATATATACTTGAAATTTCCTTGTCTTGAACAGTTTTTCATTCTAAATTCCACCTTGGCCTGAAAACGAGTGCTAATGGTTCCAGTTGCAAGAAACGTGCGAATGCCTTTCTGGTAGGTACATCAAACTAATTTAATGTGCCCGTTCCTATATCAATATAGAGCTTTTCTCTTCGCAAGTAGATTGGCTGATGCAAAGTCAACAAAAGGCGTATCTGAGCTAACAAAATTAATATAATCATCCTAACATAATTTAATGAACATGTGAAATCAAAATGAGTCGAGTTTTTTTCTAATAACCAAATATTAAAAGATTTTTGAATTTTATTATACTGAATATGCAGCTACTTGCCTTACATTTTTTTAGAAAGAAAAGTCAAATTAATGAGTTCACAGCGGTGTCGATTTAATTTATATTAATAGGAAACAACCATGATCCACATCCTGAGGAACAGATATACTGTAGTTTTTCTATTTGAATAAGTAACCGAGGTATGGCGAAACGAAGTTACAAAATGACTGGGTTTACATATACAATGAGCCAACATCAGGTAAAATAATAATAATAATAATAATAATAATAATAATAATAATAATAAATAAAAAAGAAATAAAAATAAAACATTGAAATAAAGTTAATGGAACACAGTGTCGTGAAAGTTTCTTCATCAACTAGCGTTTAGTGTGGGTGGTTCTTAAGATTAATCTTCACGTTCAATATCACACTGCTCTTGGTAACTCGTCAGTGTGTTTGAATGAAGTTCGGCAAAGACTGCTCCATTTTTAAGAAAGTTCTTAGAAAGCAGGCCCCAACATCTAAACCATAGTCTCATGTTCGAAATATATCCAGAAATACCAAATACGCTTTGCAAGCGCAATCTACGTAACTATTATTTGTCAGGGAAAACATATTGTAACTTACAAACAAGCTATAAATGTACCTTTCGTATTATCTTCATGAGTATTTCAAAACCAGATATTTTCCCAAGGTGATGTACACCAAGTCTATCCCTTTTTGTCCCTTATACTTTATAAAAACGGGAGGTTTTGACGAGGGCAAACGACACACTAGAAAAGAACAGCCATGAATATGCAATTATAACTACAAGCGCAGCGAGCCGATGATGGCAAAACTATAATTAAAGTTCCCAATTTTTTTCTGAAAACATGTCTCAGATTAATTAAAGTTTAAAATGTATAAACATCTGCCCGAAGGAACAATGGATGACGTATATTTAAGCTAAAGCGTTATTTATTTCCCTTTTATGGCTTCCTCATAAAGAAAAGCTATATTTGCATTGGAAGGGAGCCTGTGTCATTCAAAAACAAATTGTTCTACTTTGGAAAGACGTACACGTTTGATGAATATTTCTTGAAACAAATTTAAAAGAACACTTCGATAACACTGATGAGACTGATTTTTGTCCCGCAAGGTATTTTCATTAATTATTTCGTTTTCTAATTATCACAACTTTCATATGAATTGACTTGGGCAAAAGAAAAGAACGGACTAAGTCACTTATGGTGCTGTTCCAAAATTATGCGTGATAAGAAACCTTTAATTTTTTTATTTTACAATAAGGAAATCGCCCACCATGTTGATTAATGTGCTCTGATCTATTTACGTAAGTAAGGCTCGTAAGTCATCGTAGAACAATCGAGCAAGGTCTAATCTCCAAACACGAGAAAATTACAATATGAGCGCTTGTTCACGCAAATATATGGGATTGATTCTGAGCAATTATTACTATTAAAAGTTGAAAAAGTCGAAAAATCCAACCAACAGTTAATGTTTAATTTTTACCTGTTTTATAGTCTTTTATCAAGATGTGTCGATAGAAGGCGTCGAACAATATTAACACTTCTCGAAAACATAATTTGGAAAAACCAAAATTGCTTTAAAATTATGAAAATTATGTCTCTTTCAAACCAATAATTTGAAAAAATAAAACAACAAAACTGGTCATTAGCACTTGTCGAGAGGTGTTTATTTTAGAAGGCTCCTTATATCAACACACCTTGATTAAAGATTATCAAAAAAAAAAATTAAGATCGGAGAAAGAACACACGTGACTGCGATGACAGTTAACCGAGCAAATAAATTAAACAATTTGGTCACTGTGTCAGACACCTTAAGACTTTGACGAATGGGATGATTTTAATTGAAAATGATATGAAGAGGCCTCACCCTAACGTTTTAGACCGACTTTATTAGCATAAAGACATCTTCAAAGGGAATCAATCGGACCTACGCGTACGCGAAAACTTTTACATTTAGCATCAAGAAATTCGCTAGAGATCAAAATTACTTATTGCATTGGTACATACTGTATAAATTCTTGTTCTTAAAATTTACATTTGCCGCTTGCTTCCCTGCAAAATAAACGGCTGAGTCATGCAATCATTATGTTTACTCTATCCCAGCTGTGATTGGCCAAAAGGGCAGTGAGTCACCTCAAGGTGGTAATTAGTCTCCTTCGGAGCACCCCGTAATCATCCCAAACGATGGCTGCGATGAACAGGTGCCTCGATAAGATTTGAGCGACTAGAGTACAATCATTATCAGTCCAACAGATCTAAAATTGAACGCTACTGGTGTACTAGAAGAAAGATCAAGGTTTCAAATAAGGTACGTTTTACCAATATCTGAGATATCATCGCAACGTTTTGATGTCATACCCCGTTTTACATGAGACACAATTTCTCAAGAAGAAATAGTTTCTCCCTGAGATAGAAATAGAAACTCTTCGGCATTGAGTTTCTTGTCTAAACTATAATGGTGGACAAAATTCCTTGGGACATTTGCGTCATTGCATGAATTATCTGTGTTTTTTAAACGGAGTTTGAAAAAGCACTGTTATGCTTTTCAAAATTCGTTTCAGCCCCTCCCCCCCGCCCCGCCCCATACAATGTTGAAACTCTTGAGAAATGTCCAACATTGTATGGGGAGG